GGAGGGAGGAGCAGGAGCAGGAGAGAGGAGGAGGAGAGGAGGAGGAGGAGGATCCTGCAGGGCCAGGGTCGCAGGGTCCTGACCCGGGTTGGGGTGAAGGATCCTGCGGGATCCTGCAGGGTCTTGCAGGATCCTGCAGGATCCTGACTGACCTATTGCTCGTCCTGGCCGCGACCTTCTCTTCCTCCTCCTCCTCCTCCTCCTCCTCCTCCTCCTGCTCCTCTTCCTCCTCCTCCTCCTCCTCCTCTTCCTCGTCCTCCTCCTCTTCCTCCTCCTCCTGGGTCTGGATTGACCCGGGTCAGAAGATCCCCGAGCTCCTCTCGGAGAGGGCGGAGACGAGGACAGAGCCCTCTTCGGACAGGGCTGAGACGAGGACAAATCCTCGGAGGAGGACAAGGTACCCACATGTCTCTACCCTTCCCTCGTTTTCCCCTTTTTGGGCCTCCTGGGCGGCCCTCGTCGCGCTCGAAATTCAGTTGAAATTCAGGTCAGAACGCACCCCGGGAGAGGTCTGGGGAGTAGCGGTATCCGTACCGTTGGTTTCCCCACGGACAGGGCCGGGACGATGACAAGTCTTTCCCAGAGCGTTCCGCAACGCTCCGAGAAGGCCGCGGCGCCCGAGACCTCCTTCCGAGCCGCCAGATATCCGAGATGTTTGTTTTCTTCTCGCCCGATGTGGGCCTCTTCCTGGCTTCGTCTTAGCCTCCTCCACTCGCGCTTCTCCTCCCCCTTCTCCTCCTCCTCCTCATCCTCCTCCTCCTCCTCATCCTCATCCTCCTCCTCCTCCTCCTCCTCATCCTCCTCCTCCTCCTCCTCCTCCTCCTCCTGGCTCGAGCCCCGCGCGGCGCCGGCTTGCCCTCCCTCTGCTCCCTTGGTAGCTGCGGGCCTGCTCTTTGCTCCAACATGCCGCGGCCCGAGGGGTCCCGCCCGCGTCCCTCGGGGCAGCGTGTCGCCCTATGGTTAAGTCGAGCCTGTCCCTCTACAGGGGGGGTATTTAAACATAATTCAAAAACAGTCTGGGGACGTTTGTTTTATTTGTTTTGCAAATGTGAGAATATTGGGGGGCATTGTTTTCATCCATAATCACCCCGTAGGAGGACATGCCCGACCGAAGGCTAGGAGCCAGACCCCTTCGAGTCTTGTGAACATCACGAAGGGAGGTCTTTCGTTATGTCCAGCATCTGGGGCTATCCAATTATTCACTGCGTGGAGCTCTCCACGTGTACATCTATTAGCATGGACCCGACTGCCGTGAGTGTCTAGAGGCACAAGAGTTTCCGGGTATGCGCGGGCTTGATGTTGACGGTTTGGGAGTGATAATCTAAATGTGAATGAGTTGGAGTGTGAATCAGTCTCAGTGGTACGAGCGCGTCTCTGCGCATGAGCCTGGGGCCTCCTGGGGCCTCCTGAAACCTCCTGGGGCTTCCTGGGGCCTCCTGGAGCCTTTGGGGCCTTGTTTCCTTCTGAGGCGCCCCAGGAGAGGCCCAACATATAGGAACAGACGTGCAGAAAGCACTACGGATTAGATCCGCAGGAGAAGGGCAATCTATAGGAGCATGCGTAAAACACCAAGGACTCGTGCCCCAGGTGAGGCCAAATCTATGGAAACATACGTACAACACAGGATTCGTGCTCCAGGGGAAGCACAATCTATAGGAGCAGACGTACAACACATGGGATTCAAGCCAAGGAGTGGCCTTCTGATGCCTCCTGCTCCTGGGGACTCTTGGGGCCCCCTGGTGCCTTCCGGGGCCTCCTGGTGCCTTCTGGCGCTTCCGTGGCCTCCTGTGGACTCCTGTGGCATCCTGGAGCATCCTGGAGCCTCCTGGAGCCTTCTGGACCCTCTTGGGGCCTCCTGGGGCCTCCTGGAGCTTCCTGTAGCCTCCTGTAGCCTCCTGTGGCATCCTGCTACCTCCTGGCACGTCCTGTGGCCTGGAGCCTCCTGCCTCCTGTGGCATCCTGAAGAGGATCCGTGCCCACGAGTCTGGCCAGTAAAATCGGCAAACCGCTCGAGACATCCTCGAAATCTGGCCCAGATGGGAGCGAAAATGAGTGCCTCGCTCGAGAGATCCTCCAAATCTGCTCCGCAAGCGGAGGATGTTGAGCACCGAAAGCCCGCGCCTCGCCTGAGACATCCTCGGAAACTGCTCCGAAAGAGGAGGATGTGAGCACACAGACAGGCAAACCGCCTGAGACATCCCCCCAATCTGGGCGCGAACGGGCCCGTGCAATACCCCCTGGCGTCTCCCAATGGGAGTGCTGAAACGAACGCCTCGCCTGAGACATCATCACAACGTGTGTTTAAGTCTGAACGCGGAAGTGGTGTGGCTGAGTCTGAGTTGGGAAGAGCGAGGCATAGTATATGTGAGTCTTAGTGTAAGTGATTTTGGGTGTGACTGAGTCTGAGTGAGTGTGAGTGTGAGTGTGTGTGTGTGTGGGTGTGTGTGTGTGTGTGTTTGCGTGTGTGACTGTTCCTGTGTTCCGCGCGGTGTAAGTAATAGCAAGAAGCCAATCTTATGATGTGGGGTAGGACGACTCGGGATAAAGAGCCAGTTCCGGGGGATGGGTCTGGACCTCTGGGGGTCGCGTGATGGAAACATCATGACCTCGGGGGTCTGGGGTAGGGCGAGGGTAAATCGTTCCAGAGAGTTCCGGCACGCTCTCAGAGCGTTTTGGAACGCTGTGAGAAGGCCTTGGCGCCCGAGTCATCCTCCAGAGCCGCCGGATCTCAGGGGGAAGCGGGTCCTGAGGTAAGCGGGTCCTAAGGTTTTTCGCCGTTTTCGGGCTTTAGGGCCCCCCCGCGAGCCCCAGGATGGCCAGAGAGCAGCTCCGGATGCAGATCTCGCTCTGGAGGGAGGCGCCAGAGTCCAGAAGGACCCGTTTCCCCCATGCTGAAACGAGGCGTTCCAAAAAGGGCCTTGCCTTCGAGGATCGAAGGAGTTGTCATCTCTTGTTCGGCGGAAGGCCCTCGGACGGGCGGCGGAAGGTCGGCGGGAGAAAAGCGAGGCCGCCTCTGCCGGCGGAAGCCGGCGGAAGCAAAATATGCACCCCCAAGAGATGAAAACGTTTTGGGGTTCAGGGTTTCCGAGATCCGGGCTGTGAGAAGATTGGCCAGCTTTTGAACCCGAAGGGGCCCCCTGGGGGCCCAAAAGGGGGCACGCACGGTGCACCCCCAACTTATCACCTTTCTGTCCTCCTCCTCCTCCTCCTCCTCCTCCTCCTCCTCTTGCTCCTCCTCCTCCCTCTCAAGCATTCTAGCTTGACGTCGCGAGGGGATGGTTTGCCAGTGGTCGGTTCGGCCGCGGCCGACTTGTCGGCGGAGATCGTTCGCTCGGCTCAAGTCACGCGCGGCCCAGACCCCCGACGTCATGATGGTTTCATGACGTGGGTCCGAGAGGTCCAGACTAACTCCCCGGGAATATTCTTCACTTTGAATCGTTTTTGACCGTCCCGAGGCCTGGTAGGGGCCCCCTGATCGGCGTCACCACAACATATCATGTGTGTGTGTCGTCCCCCCAGGGGCGACACGCGCGCCGAGAAATCTTATAGTCTAAGCGTCGTGCCGGGCGCTTTCTGGCAATACCGTTCGGGAACCTATATTTTATAGTATGGTTATTCTACATGTTTGGATCGGCCGCACGCTTCCAAGGTGGGCATATCGTATTAGCATATTCTTGTGCGTCCCAGCAGATGGCGAAAATAGCAAACAAAAATCTTCTGTCGCGTTTTTCTCATGACCCGAGGGCGTCTGGGTCTGGCGCTCCGGCTGAGCCCCGCTTGCACTGACCCCCGCCTCGAGGCTCCCGAGAAGGGGGTTGGGGGAGGAGGGGAGGCAAGCGGCGCTTCGGCGCCGCAAGTCGGGGCTCAAGAAACCGGGGGTCAGGCAGGCTTTGGAGGATCCTGCAGGATCCTGCAACGCCTGACCGACCTGGGTCTGGACTGACCCAGGTCGGTCCGTCCCCGGGCACGAGGCTCGCTCGAGGGGGCAGGCTCTGAACGCGAGGGGGGCGCGCGGGGGGCCGCGAGGGGCAGCGGCGGGGCCGGCTGCGCGCAGGACTGGCCCCACAGCCGAGGCGCACAGCGGCGGCGAGGGCGAGGGGGCGCGGCGCCCGCCGCGCCGCGCCCATCCTCCGCGCTCCGAGCGGGGCCCCCGCGGCGCGCGCCGACGCCGCGAGGCGGCCGCCTCGGCGCCGGGGGGGGCGGCGCGCCCGTCAGGGCGGCGCCGACGCCGCAGGCGGCGTCTGGGCGCGCGTGGGCGGCCCGCGGCGAGGGCGCCCGGCAGAGGAGAGGTCCAAGGTGAATGGGCCTGTCTTCCACCACCGGCGCCACCACCACGAGCTGGAGTGGGAGTGGCTCCTCCTCGTCCTTCTCCTCCTCCTCCTCCTCCTCGTCTCGTCCGTCCTTCTCCTCCTCCTCCTCCTCCTCGTCCTCCTCCTCCTCCTCTCCTCCTCCTCCTCCTCCTCCTCGTCCGTCCTCTCCTTCTCCTTCTCCTCCTCGTCCGTCCTCTCCTTCTCCTTCTCCTCCTCCTCCTCCTCCTCCTCCTCCTCCTCGTTTCCCCCCCTCGAACTTCTGGTGGTGGCGGTGGAAAACAGGCCCGTCAAGAGGGCCCAGAGATCCGACGCTCCAAGGAAATGGGAGCGGCGGGTCTGTGGCCATGTGTTGGCCTCCGGGAGTCGTCGCGGGGCCTCGGGGCCGTCCCAAATCGGCTCGGGACGAAAAGCGGATCCCGTGGGGGAAGAGGTCCAGACCTTTGGGGCCCACGCATCGATAGCAGTGGAGCGGCCGGATATCTGGGAAAGGTCCACGGATCAATGGATATGTATAGATTTCGTCGCTCTATACGTCTACCCTTCCATCGTTTTCGCTTTTCTGGGCCTTGTGGGAGACCTTCGCCACCACCGCGGGTTTCGCCCCGAAATTCTGGTCCGAGCGCCTGGGAGAGGCTCGGGGAGTAGTGGTATCAGTACGGTTTGGTTTCCCCAGTTGCCAGTTGCCGGCGG